AATCAGACTGCACCTGGGATTTGGCCTGAACTCGCACTCTTGCTTAACTACTTATTTCCTATCTTACTTCCCACTGTCTCAATAGTTTCCTGGGCACACTTTCTTAATAAATCACTGGCAAACAAATTCTTACCTTAGGTGTGCTTTTTGCAAAAAACAGCTGCAGTCTATAAAAAAAAAAAAATAACACTCTAGTCTCTGGCTGAGGTCTCAGACCTGGCACTGAAGTTTGGCATTTGTCCCCAAACTCCAACTATTTGGCACAAAGAACTAGTGCCTAAAGTGCTCAGGCTAAATTAGGTGGCAAAAGGGTAGCTTCAGTGATGGAACAGTGACAATATGGAAAGACTCCTAATAATAGTGTTATGGTGGAAGTCAAGGGTGTTTTCTGACACCTGCAGAGTTTATAGGGAGGAATACTGAGTGGGTATTTTACGGGTCTAACCACAAACCATGGGCTTAAGTGTTGCATTAAATATATGAATAAAATATCTCAAATTTAATTATTTTACCACATTATAAAATGGACCTTCACTACTTTTTTAATGAATAAAGAGGAGAATAAAGGACCTCGTAGAAAAGGATAGTAACCCCCACCCCCACCCCACTAGAAAAGGTTGGCTCTGTTTCCTGCATTTACATTTGAAAAGGTGAGGGGAGAAACTCCCATCTATCCTGTCACTTCAACAGAAACCAAATCCCTGTGAGGATAATAGTGAAATTTTATCAGAACTATATGAAACAGCCAGTCACTCAGTTTTATGATAACATTATAGAAAATAATATATAAATATAAATATAATTTAATATAATATAAATATAGTTTATATTTATTTATAAAGCAGTATAATGACAACAATGTATTTTTTTAAATATATTTTATTGATTTTTTACAGAGAGGAAGGGAGAGAGACAGAGAGTTAGAAACATCGATGAGAGAGAAACATCGATCAGCTGCCTCCTGCACATCCCCTACTGGGAATGTGCCCGCAACCAAGGTACATGCCCTTGACCGGAATCGAACCTGGGACCTTTCAGTCCGCAGGCCGACGCTCTATCCACTGAGCCAAACCGGTTTTGGCAACAAAATATTTTTGATCCACTGCCCACTAATGCCTAATAATTTCTCACATATTCCATATACATTGCTTATTCTTATCTATTAGTATTTTTATTATGCAACAAATGTTAACTGAACACCCACTATTACGAGGTACTAGTTTTATGTTTGGACATCTTTAGTTACTCAACATATCTAAACCTATGTATTATAGTTTATCTGATAATATTATCCATCTAAAATAATCTTTGAAATAGGTCTGGTATAAATAATAGGCATAGATAATACTTCACATTTTCAAGGTAATTTCCAATGTATAAAGTTGTTTAGCTTATTAACTTGTGGATCCTCCAACACTTGTATGGAATGGAAGGCATGGATTATTATTCCCGCTTGAAATATGAGGAAACAAGAGTCAAAGAGGTGAGCTAATCTACACAAGAATTCAGGGCTTTGTCTCTTAAATCAAAACTCTGTCCATAGATTATCTATAATAATAAAAGCATGATATGCAAATAGACCGAAAGGCTGAATGCTGGGGTCCAGCCCCAGCGGGTCCAGGGGTCCCCCAAAGGTGTGGGTGGACAGAGTCGGCGAAGAAGGAATGACACAAAGACAGCGTTCAGTTGATCAGCAGCCTTGCCAGGATCTCTAGCCACAATCTCCAGCCAAGTTCTGTGTCCATGTTCTCTCGCTAGGTTCTCCAGCCAGGTTCGGTTTAGGTGTTCTGTAGCCGGGTTCTTCAGCCAGGTTCTGTCTAGGTTCTCCAACCAAGTTCTGTAGCCAGGTTCTGTCCAGGATCTTATGCCATGTTCTCTCCAGCGAAGTTCTTCTGTCTCTAGGTTCTGTGTAGGTTCTGTCTTCTAAGTTCTGTCTTCTAAGTTCTGTCTCTCGGATCCTCATCTAAGTTCTGTGTCCTCTCTGTCTTGTTACATCTGTATTTATACCAGTTGATCCCAATCCTATCAATCTGTATTCCAAAGGTTAGGGCGTGAGGTGACCTTGGTTAAAACACATAGTGCCAAGAAGGTGAGCAAATATATTAAGAACAGTATGCCATATATGCCAGGTCCCTTGAAACAGCAAGGATGGACCGACTCCCGGCAGCTGAACAGCAGAACGACCTTCTGGACAACCACACTATGACACACACTGGTACCAGGCCAGCCAAGGTGTGTGCAATGCGATCTGTCAGGGGGCCCCTGCCATCGCCCCATGATTGTCCCACAGAGGTAGGCCCGCCCAACCACTGCAGCCCGCTGGTTGGTGGCCCGGGCCTCCCTCTTTGGGGCAATTGATCACGGAGCCCCCTGTAGATCACCCCAAAGAGGGAGGCCCAGGCTACCTGGCTGGTGGAGCTGTGGGCTGTAGCGAGTGGGCGGGGCCTCCCTATCCAGGAGATGATGATGGGGCTCCTGGACTGTGAGAAGGTGCAGGCTGAGTTGAGGGACCCCCATTCCCCCGCCCCACAGTGCATGAATATTGTGCACCAGGCTTCTAATTCTATATATAATAAGAAGAAAGTTATTATACGTAAATCAGGAAGTTCCAAAGTGGGTTCTTAAATATATACAATTTTAAATCATGCCAGTCACTGATCCTCTTCACTGATATACCTAGGTTATAGTAAACAACATTCTATGAATCCTAAGGTGCAAATGTGAGCCAAATTTTTAAAAAATTAAATATTCAGAACCTTTTAGTACAAAAAATTATTGGGCTTTTGGTTAGTGTTATGCAACATTAAAACAAGAGAGTCCATTCCTATTCTTTGATGATCAATTTTATTTCTTCTGACACTTAAGATGCCTGCTAAACCTCTGAGAGTTATAATCTAAACTGAGGTTGACCTCATGTGCCTGTCTTTATTCTCTCTGAATTATATTCTTCTAAGCTCAGTTAATTTAATCTTTTATTACTCCCAATGGGTTTTATTTTCTCCATTGTGAGAATTGCTGACATCCTGGAGACATCAACATTATTCTTCTGATAATCATTCAATGTGGATAAAAGTGCATTCCACTTAAAGTGAGAACAAAAACTGGTCAAAAATTTAAAAATAATTGTTTTTCACATATTTCCTCTTGACTGTGCATATTAGACTGAATAATTATTTAATTGAAAAGACCATTTGACTTTACCTTTAATTTATATGTTCATATTTGAAGGATCACTTCTCCAAAGGACATTAGAAACCCAAGAAGTTAAAGGTAGCTAACATTACCGTATATTGGGGTAGATTTCTCCTACTTATATTTAGATAAGAACAGAGGAAATGTGCATATTATCAATTTGCAAAATATTCTGCAATGTCTCAGGGGGCAAATTGGGAGAGCTAAACATTGCAACAGACTCCTTATGCTAGATCAGAAGACAACAATAGAAACAGCAACTGAATCATTATTTCCCCACCTCAATATTCCTTGGTGACAAGCAATAAAAAAACCATTTTGACTGACTTAGAAAAATATGCACGTATATAAAGATATGGGGTAGTTCATAGAAATAAGAAAAAGCTAAAAATCAAAGATCGAAGAAAGAACAGGAGCCCAGTGAGACTTTGGAACTGAGATAATAAGAAAACAACAACAACAAAAGTGAACAACGTAAGAAACATAGGATGTAATTTAGAATATTGTCTCTGAAAGTTACACTATGGTGTTGGGCAAACTATCTACCAGAATCTGTGTCTTTGTCTGAATAATAATGGTACCTACAATATAGGGGTGTTGTAAAGCTTAAATTAAATGTTATATATAAGGGTTTAAAACAATGCCTATTATATAGTAGACATTTAATATAAATTAACTATTGCTATTAAATATTATTCTGGTGTCTTTTTCTTCTTTAATTTTTATTTATTGTCTGAGAGAGAGAGAGAGAGAGAGAGAGAGAGAGAGAGAGAGAGAGAGAAAGACTTGCTACTCCACTTACACATGCATTCATTGGTTGCTTCTGGTATGTGCCCTGACTGGAGATAGAACCCAAAACCTTGGTATATCAGTATGATGCTCTAACCAACCATGGCATATTTCCTTATTTGAAATTTGAGTGCCGGTTTTAGAAAGTCCCTATTATAAACTCTTAGATTCTGTGATACCATGTTTTCTATTTTCTTCCTCCAGCCCTAAATACGGTGTCTGTCTATACCGTTATTGCTTCTGCTAGTATATTAATTTGTTATTTTCAAATTAAAACACCTGCATAAAAATCCTCCAAATGAATTCCGTGTATTTTAAATAACTAATGTAGATTATATTTCCTGACCAGACCTTGATTGATATATCCTTTGGTATCAAGAAGAGCCCACTAAATAGATTCTCAGAGATGGGATTTAGGAAAGTGCTTTGCTTATTTTTTGGTCTTGACATGGAGCTCCTGGTCTGTAGAAAATGGCATAAAAATGATTTAATTCATTACTTGTGATTAGAATGAAACAGTTATTGAAGACAGGGCTTGAGGGGACAAGACAACTGTTTGCTGCACTTGATGACCATCATACCCAAAACTATTAGGATTATGGAAGGAGATGACTATTGATGGCTTTACTGGAATCAGAAAAAATTCAATTACAGTTTAAGTCATGGTCAGAGAACAAGAGACCTTCTACGGTGACAATGTAGCACTGAGCAGATAGGGCTGAAACTTATTCCCATAATTTAATGACACACATTGCATAATTATAGTGTATGATTAACTTATAGATTCACAATTTCTCATGTGAAAATTAGGGCAACAAATGAGAAGGAGAGTGATCCTGAAATCTGAAATAGAGACATCTGGATGCCTCAGAATAAAGCTGAGAATCTTAAAACCCCAAGTCTTCCAGTGTTGCCTCTGTCGATTCCCATCTCTTTCCATGAAGCCGCTACAGAAACTTCACTTCAGGCAATTCCCTTGCAATGGGGCATTTCTTCTCCTCAAGAGTCACCATCATCACCTTGTATTATCTAAAGAGCAGTCAAACTACTCAATATTTTCCCTGTACAATATGGTAGCCCCCAGCAACATGTGGCTATAGAGCACTTGACATGGGACTTATCTGAATTGAGATGCTACTTAAATGTTAAACACACTTTGGATTTTCAAAGATATAGAATTAAAAAAAAAAGATGGTAAATTACCATATTAATAATTTTATGCTAATTACATGTTGAAATTATAATATTGGGATTAAATGAAATAGAATACTAAAATTAATTTCATCTTTTAAAAAACAACTACTAGAAAATGTAAAATTAAGTATGTGTCTTACACTATATTTCTATTGGACAGTGCTGGTATAAAGAGCCTTCAAATACTTTTACACACATAGATCAAATATTTTTGAAATCTACTTTCTTACACAACTTTAAACAGACACCTATTTTTTTTAAATTCCAAGTGTGAGTAGATGCAAATAATTCAATTTCTACTATACTCTAATTTTACAAATACCTTAAATATTAGTTCCTTAAAATCTTGCATCATTAGTTTATTTGACTTCTATAAAATGTCTATATGTTAAAAATGGCTAAACTATAAAATCATTCAGACAAATCAGAAATTATTTCTGTTCTAAAAGCCAAACTTTGTGTTTCAATTCAATTGGTATATAACATACTTCTATGTATTGTGAATTCTAGTTCTAGGATAGAAAGAGATAAACAGAAGGTTAGATAGATTAAAAATAGATGTATAGTTGGATGGATGACAGATAGATAGATAGATAGATAGATAGATAGATAGATAGATAGAGGTAGATGATATAGATAGGTAGATAGATAGATAGATAGATAGATAGATAGATAGATAGATAGATAGATAAATACTTATATGCATAGATGCATACATAAAGATATGGGGCATTTAATAAGTTTGTTGTTTGGCTAAAATAAGATTGTCTCCTTCAAATATATCTTAGTGAATCTATGTTTGGATTTGTTCTCAAGGAATCTTACTTAGGAGCTGTGATTCTGAATTTCTTACTCTGAATGTCCAGAGTTTTATTTACACTCAGGTGAAGTAGGATATTAATATTTCAGCTGGAAAAGCAATGCATGCCTTCCTTTTGACCCTGCACAAGATAGTCATAAAAGGGACAGTGATAAAAGAAAGCAAACAGATAGAAGAGGGTCATCAGGCAGGACAGTGGTAGAAAGTGGAATATCTTAAAATGGTGCCCAGGCCACTCAGGTACACCTTGAGATTAAAGACAAATGCACTAGACCAGTGGTCGGCACACTCATTAGTCAAAAGAGCCAAATATCAAAAGTACAACGATTGAAATTTCTTCTGAGAGCCAAATTTTTTAAATTTAAACTATATAGGTAGGTACATTGTTATTAACTTAATTAGGGTACTCCTAAGGCTTAGGAAGAGCCACACTGAAGGGGCCAAAGAGCCGCATGTGGCTCGCGAGCCGCAGTTTGCCAGCCACGGCACTAGACCACCTCTAATACTGAGGAAAATCATCTTTATAAAAATTAATAAACTGTTCAAGACAGAAAATTATTTCACACAGAGCTGATGATAAATGCATATCTTAATGCAAGGAGAATAATTAATTCAATGATCAGATTATTTAAAATATCAACCCTAATATTTTAATTAGCTGTTATGAAGAAATCCTCAATTGTACCCATTACTGAAATGCTATAATTAAAGGAAATATTCCCTTACAAAAGCTTGTGGAAGGGATATAAAGTAACCTTAAATTTATGTATTACTTTAAGATTGTAATGCTCAGTCATTATATTTTATTTTTAGTAAGTTTAAAGGCAATGTTGATAGAATGATCAGTAAAAATGGCTATAATTTAATGTTTAATACTTTCAGTATAAGGCACAGCTTTCTACAAATTATTCCGCCACATAATCAAATGTGGAAGAAAACAATATGTAGTGTTTTTCTAAATTAATACGTAAGTCTCATCTCACAAATAACTGAAGAGAATCAGCATATTTCTTGATGAGATGGAAACATTTGGCAATGATAATCACTGTCATTTAAAGTGATCCTACTCGGAACCAGACATTTCACACTTTCTTATCTAATCATAAAACAACTTTATGATATGGTGTTATTTTATCTACAGGATTAAAAAACACATAAAACTGTGGCTTAGAGGACTCAAGGATAAGACCTGTCTAATGTACAATTAGCCAAGAGGGAAAGCCCAGATAGAAAACCAGTTCCATCCAGTTTCATTCAGTTTCAAATCTCAGAGTTTTTTCACCTCCCATATATTTGTTTTGGACATTTAGAATACAATGATTACTTTTCAAGTTACCAAACATAATGAAAAATATGAGCAATAATGTTTTGAGGAAATTATAGCTATTGAGGAATCAAGAAGGCTGGTTAATTAGGAGAGCTGTGTTGTCCATACTTCATGCCAATAATTGCCTTCCAAAACAAGTTTCTACTGTGATAATCCCTGGAGGCAAAACTATAAAAAGTATTTTTCAAACTGTGTGTTGTAACTTCTTAGTGCACCGTGATACTGATTTAGTGAGGCATGAACAATATTTTAAAAATACATTACAATAAGTTAGAAAAATAAAAAGTACACTTTTGTAGTAAGATAAAATACAATTTTGTGACACTGTGTGTGTGTGTGTGTGTGTGTGTGTGTGTGTGTGCGTGTGTGTGTGAGAGAGAGAGAGAGAGAGAGAGGGGAGAGAGAGAGAGAGAGAGAGAGAGAGAGAGAGAGAGAGAGATCTGGGACACAATAGCACAATGTAAAACATAATTCTAACTGTGTGTCATGATTAAAAGTGCTTGAAAACCAATTTTTATACATTATATGAAAATAGAGGTAAACCAACAGATTAAAAAATAATGTCCTCAGTCAGCTATTTGAAAAAAGTATAAAGAGGTGAAAGTAATATGTCCTCCTTAGAAAATAAATTGGAATTTTTTTTTCTTTTAGGGAGAAAAAGAAGAGATGAAAGTTTGGTAGATTAGGCAAGATAAACAAGAGGAAATGTGACAACCTCTGTGAAACTTCAGGTAACTCAGTAATGAGAATAAATTAAATTTAGCAGAGCAGATATCTTATAGAATAGAACACAATTGCCAAGTTTTGATGAAAATTACAGGTAATTACCATGACACAAAAAGATTTTATATCTCCATGCAAGATTAATTCAAAGTGTTTGTTCTGTATTTTACAATGAACTCACTCCATGCTTGTCTTAGTGTAAGTTATTTACATCTTAGAGTGAGCTATATCCTCATAAAGAGGATAAGCTGTGTATCTTATAAAATACACAGCTCTGCCCTAACCAGTTTGGCTCAGTGGATAGAGCGTTGGCCTGTGGACTGAAGGGTCCCAGGTTCGATTCCAGTCAAGGACATGTACCTTGCTTGTGGGCACATCCCCAGTAGGGAGTGTGCAGGAGGCAGCTGATGGATGTTTCTCTCTCAACGATGTTTCTAACTCTCTATCCCTCTCCCTTCCTCTCTGTAAAATATCAATAAAATATATTTAAAAAAATAAAGTACACAGCTCTGACATTTACTGTTTGAGATTTTAGGCAAGTGATTTAGCCTCTCTGTTAAATGTAGAAATAAAACTACCTCATGGGGGGCGGGGGAGTGTTATGAAGATTAAATAATTCATGAAGAGTGCTGCAAATTTTACCTGACATGTTAATAAGTGTTCAATAAACCTGAGTTTATTTTTCAAGTACTTCATGATTTTTTATTTTCTCAACAAGCCCTAATTTGCACTTTAAAGGTAATCGATAAATAGACATTTGTTGAATTGGACTGAACTGATGACACAGGCTGGGGGGAGTTAAAATTATTTCCTCTATATTTTTACAAGGAAAAGCAAGATAGAGCAGGAGAGGAAAATTAGCTAATTTTTCAGCCTCCCTTGCACTCATTCAGCATTATAATTTTGTTCAAAGTGTTGTAGCACATACATGTCTGGATGTATTAGTCACTTTTAGTGAAACCCAAAGACAACCCAACCTTTTCAGATGTTATAATATGAACTTCTATTAGCGCAGAGCACATTAAAATCAAGAATTTATAATAAAAAATAGCTGCGTGGCATAGAGAAACATTGAAAGTCAGCTATGTTGAAAACATCATATCCCTGAATAATATGTCAAGCAAAAAAGATATGAAGTGAAAAGCCATTGTTCATGGCTTCTTTTTTTAAAAAAGGAAATATATACTTAAAACCTTCCAAAACATGTCTCAGAAAACATTCATTTATAACGTTTATGTGTTGTCAATTATATGTTAGTAACTGGGAGTAGAATTGTAATATTTTCAATTTATTTTTTCCAAATTTTTCAGATAAGTTTGTTCCATAGAACAGATAAGTAAAAAATACTGCAGAGATCATACTTTAGACGTGAATTTTCTTTGTTGCACTTTCCTCACCAGCTCTTTGTCTTTGGCTCTGTGGTTATGCTTTTCTCCCACGGGTGACGTTCTTACCTTATTTGTATTCACCGCTGTGATGACCCAGACGCACTGTGCATTGCTGTCATACTGGAAGGGAAAGTTGGGAGACGTAAAGGTTCCGCTTGGTCCTTGAAGATTAGAGCCACATGTCTTCACTGGAAGAGAAATTGCATTTTAAAAGATGAGCATATACCATGTGCAAAACCATAGCGAGGAAATAACTTGCAAATGGATTTTAAATGCAAAATTGCACAATTATAACTGTGTTGATATATATATATATGACTGCTGGGTAATATTCACTTATCAAAATGAGAGTATTTTTTACACACTGCAGTTCACAAGCTCATTATTTTCAACAACAATGGAAAATTAGTGATGAGTAAGGGTGAGGCATGATGAAATGCCTTTTGACTGCAAATAGGTTAGTTTAGTTAGAGAAAGGTATAGGTATTTATCCAATATTATATTAACAAAAATCTACAGAGAAAGAAGCAAAACCTTGGATTGATTAAGCAATCTAAGGGTAGAGTTTTCAGTTATATTTATTAAGTACCCTAGGACACATAATAGCAAAATTGAGGCATCAATATTAAACTACTCTTTCTGTTCTTATATATAACTGTGAATTAGACCACTCAGACTGCACAAAGAGTTAGCACACTGCAATAATTCAAAGTCCCACAAAGTTAAATGTTATAACATTTCCTCTAACCCTTCTTTCTTCTGCTTAACAAAAGAGCTTGTCACCACACTGCATCTGTCTTAACTTCCATCTTTTTCTTTAACTTGAAGTGTATATCTTGTGGTGATTTAATGATTGCTTTTCATTTTATCTTGCTTGTGTCTGATTTATAAATTTTAAACAATAAAGCTATGCCATTTTGTAATGAGAAAATAAATATCTTTTTCTCCAACATTTAACTCCCAATCTTTAATTTTCTATTCTCTGCCTAATTTCTTTATATTCTTGTATGCTTCCTATTTCATTTTCTTCTCTTCCATTCACTCTTTTTTTTTGTTTTGTTTTGTTTTTTGTTTTTTAAGTCACATGGTATAAATAGTTCCATCTTGGCTGATTTTAAGCTACCAAAGGCTTATCAAGACCTCACCAATTTCTGAATATTTCATAATTGCCTCTTTTTACCAGCTCTATTGACCAATTAAAATGTGATACTGTGTAAGTTAAAGGTGCACAACATCATTTGATAAATGTATATTGCAAAATAATAAAGTCAATTAACATAACCACTTCAAATACTTATTATTTGTGTATATGCTTGTGTGGTAGAATATTTGAGATCTCTTACACTTTCTTAGCAATACATTAATACAATATTATTAACTATAGTCAACATACTGTACATTAGATCACCAGAAGTTATTCATCTTATAACTGGAAATATATTTCCTTTAAACAAAATCTCCCCATTCCACCTAACACCCTCAGCCCCACCTCTGGCAATTTATGCTCTATTTCTATTATTTTTCTTTTTGAGGTTTGACATATAAGTGAGATCACTACAACATTTTATACATCATCCATGTTCACTATTCCACTTTCTTGCCTCCATTTACTTTTGAAAGCATTTTAGTCTGATTTCTCCCATTCCAGTGTTGAAATTGCATTCTCAGTGCTAACACAGATGACCTAATAGCTAAACCTAATAATATCTCTTCATCTTTTCCACACACTTATTCTCTAGCAGTAATGGAAAGTAATGATAAACTTTGTTTGGAATTCCCTTCCTTCCCTCAACGCAGCCCTGAACTCTCTTGATTTTTGGCCCCATTTGTCAACATTAGTTATGCTCCATACCCTGTGTCCCAGTTCTATATTTTTAATCTGACCCTGAAATAGCATAATTATAAATTGACTTAATGGCCAATTTTCTCTTTCTTTAATGATCTTTCCAAATAGTTCATCCAATTCACTTCTACAATGGTCACTTCTGTATTGATAGCTTTCAAACCTGCATCAACAATTTCGCCATCTCTCTTGATTTATAGAGTAACTAGAGACCTGGTGCATGAAATTTGTGCACTTGGAGTGGGGGGTCCCTCAGCCCAGCCTGTGCCCTCTTGCAGTCCAGGATCTCTCGGGGGATGTCTGAAGGCCTAAGCTGTCAAGCGGACATCCTTAGCACTGTCTCTCCTACCACCACTGCTGTGCTCGCCAGCCTTGAGCCTGGCTTCTGGCTGAGTGGCCCTCCCCCTGTGGGAGCACACTGACCACCAGGGTGCAGCTCCTGCATTGAGCATCTGCCCACCAGTGGTCAGTGCGTGCCATAGCAACCAGTTGTTCCACCATTTGGTCGATTTGCATATTAGCCTTTAATTATATAGGGGTTTCTGTTTGCTGGACAGTCCATGAAATGTTTTAAAGATGTTTGTTTTTTTAATATATTTTTATTGATTTTTAGAGAGGAAGGGAGAGGGAGCGAGAGATAGAAACATCAACGATGAGAGAGAATCATTGACTGGCTGCCTCCTGCACGCCCCACACAGGGGATCGAGCCCACAAACCAGGCATGTGCCCCTGACCGGAATCAAACCTAGGACCCTTCAGTCTGCAGGCTGACACTCTATCCACTGAGCCAAACCAGCTAGGGCTTAAAGATATTTTTAATTAAACCTTTCTTATCTAACCCCTCTCTACACATAAGTACTCCTAAAGACCTATGCACTCCTCTTCTAAACATCTTGTTTTCCTTCTTCCCCTCTCAATACCCACTGCTTCATATCACCTCTTTCCAGGACTAGAAATAGCTACTTAAATCCTTCCTATACTCCAGTTGCTCTCTCTGCTTCATCTTCACTTGTGTTACTAATTTCTCTTTCTGAAATACAGATTTGATTATTTTACTAAATTAAAACTGGCTTATATAGAACATAAAATGATTCCTGTGAGGACCTAGATTGCTTTCCCAATACAATTTCCTGCCATTTTATACAACCATATGTGCAACTTCTGCCAGAAAAGAATTCTTGCTCTTCCTTAAATGTGCCATACCCTTTACAATTTTCTACTTCTGCTATGATGGTCTCAAAGTCTAAAATTATATTCCTTCTTACATTTGCCTGCAGAAATCATATTCATTTAAACAAAGCCATGCTGATGTGCCACTTTTTCTACAGGAAGTGTTCCCATTTCTTCCATTCAGGGTCCTGTAATGGATAATAGTGCTCACAGCACATTATTTGAATAGGTGCGTAGGTACTAGTGACCTAATAGAAAATGTAGTCATAAATATTTTAAGAACTAGCAATACAAAATTACAACAATCAAATGATTAGTTTGAAGTTAGTAGAATGAGCTTTCTGATGGGACACAGACCTTCTTAGAGTGGCACTTACTATTTAGTAATTCCATGGCATGCTTCGTTTTCTAAAATGCAATATACAGTTACAGTCTACTGTGGACAAGGCCTTGCTTATCATCTTTGTTCATTAACTCCTGAGGTGGCTTTCATGTAAGAATGTTTACTATGGGAATACCCAAGTTCCTTGGCACAGCTTTTAAATAGACGGTAAAATAAGTGTTCTCTACATGCTGATAAGGAATCCTTATTAATATGTTTCAGAATGAGAAATTTTCCCTTTTGAAAATGATTTTCTTTCATATAAAAATAAAGAAAAAAAGTCCTCATAAGATGACAGGTAAAAATCACCTGTAAATATGTTATTCTTCCTGTTCGTTCCAGTCATCAAAACCAAAGAGTAACGACTCAAAAAGTTAGGTTTTATTTTTACAGACATTTTCCTTTTTTAGGTGTATGTGCTTTTACATACATCTTGCTTTGTTGTGGTTTAAATAGGTTTTTATTGATTTTAGAGAGAGGGAGGGAGAGGGAGAAAGAAAGAGAAACATCACCTGGTTGCTTCCTGGATGCCCCCTACTGGAGATCAAGCCAGCAACTTGGGCATGAATAGGTATCAAACCAGCAACCTCCTGGTGCATGGGAGGATGTTCAACCAACTGAGCCACACTGTCTGAACTTATTTTTTTGTGTCTGTGGTTTTGGGTTTTTTTTTTGTTTTTTTTTTTCATGTTTGTGTGTTTTAAGAAATTGAGCTAATTCCATACATATTCCTCAGAAATTATATTTTGTTTGCTTTTTTGTTTTTACCTATCATTATGACTATTCCAAATTAGCATATGTAAACGCATTTAATATATTGCAACAGCGCAAACAAGCAATAGCTGATATAAGTATTGCGAATTTTGGAGAGCCTTCCACTATGAGAATAATATTTGAAAATTAGTTTCCATAATTCTGGGTTGAGCGATAAAAAGTTATGTTTTTTTCCAATGAGGCATTTACTATCTCGGAAAATAGCCTTATTGTTATGTTACTAAAATTATTTCATGACATATAAACCATGGAAAATGATGGATCCAGCCTGGCTGGCATGGCTCCGTGGTGCAGCATCCACCTATGAATGAAGAGATCATGGTTCTATTCTGGGTCAGGGCACATGCCCAGGTTCTGGGCGCAATTCCCAGAGAGGGGTGTGCAGGAGGCAGCCGATCAATGATTCTCTCTCATCATTGATATTTCTATCTCTCTCTCCCTCTCCTTTCCTCTATGAAGTCAATAAAAATATTTTTTAAATAATGGATCCACTATAAAATCAATTTGAATTCAATTGTATTTATAATTTTTCTTTTTCTTTTTTCACCTGTGAGTTGGGAAACATTGTGATCTCCCCCTTAGCAAAAGTATTCCTATTTCTATCTTCCAATATCCACAGTTACTTTATTGCTCATTAGACAGGGATTAGGATTAAAAAAAGTAATAGTGTTAAATTTCCTCTGAGAAAAACTAGCCATTGGCCGGAGAATAAACCATATTTCTTGTTACACAAGAGGTGGTGGACAAAGCAGGTGACACTAATTTTAACTAAGTAGGGTTTCTATTTCTTCTAGAATATCTAACTTGTATCTTGAAATTAGATAATTTAATAAGTTATAAGTATGTAATAATAAATAAGTGTGAACAGCACAGATTTTATAAAGTGCGTCAAGTGAGAGTGGCTCATATCTCGGGAAATATCCCAATAAGAGACTTAGTTGTTCAATGGTTTCCAATGGGGCCTTGTAAGGCAGGACAGAGAATATTGTTAGGGACAAATATGAAATTACCAGAAGTAG